AGTATTGGAAGTCCTAGCCAGAGCAATTAGGCAAGAGAAAGAAATAAAGGACGTCCAAATAGGAAAAGAGGAAGTCAATCTACCTCTTTGCAGATGACATGATTCTATATCTTAAAAACCCCATTGTCTCAGCCCAAAAGCTCCTTCACCTGATAAACAACTTCAGCAAAGTTTCAAGATACAAAATCAGTGTAGAAAAATCACTATCATTCCTGTACACCAACAACAGCCAAGCCCAACTAAGAGCCAAATCAGGAAGGTGATCCCATTCACAATTGCCAAAAAAACAACAAAATACCCAAGAACACAGCTAATCAAGGAGGTGAATGATCTCTACAATGAGAATTACAAAACACTGTTCAAAGATATCAATGATACAAACAAATGGAAAAACAGCTCATGCTCATGGATTGAATCAATATCATTAAAATGGTCATACTGCCCAAAACAATTTATAGATTCAGTGGTATTTCTATCAAACTACCAGTGACATTCTTCAGAGAACTAGAAAAAACTATTTTAAAATTCATATGGAACCACGTAAGAGCCCGTATACCTAAGGCAATCCTAAATGAAAAGAACAAAGGTGGAAGCATCACATTACCTGACTTCAAGCTATACTACAAGGCTACGGTAACCAAAACAGCATGGTACTGGTTAAAAACAGACACATAGACAAGTGGAGCAGAATAGAGAGCCCAGAAATAAGGCCACACACCTATGATCTTCAACAAGGCTGATAAAAACAAGCAATGGGGAAAACACTCCCTATTCAATAAATGGTGCTAAGATAACTGGCTAGCCATATGCAGAAGATTGAAATTGAACCCTTTCCTTACACTGTATACAAAAATCAACTCAAGATGAAATAAAGGCTTAAATGTAAAACCCAAAACTGTAAAAACCTTGGAAGACAACCTAGGCAATGCCGTCTTTCCGTAGGAACCAGCAAAGGTTTCATGACAAAGACACCAAAAACAATTGCAACAAAAGCAAAAATGATAATCAGGATCTAATTAAACTTCAGAGCTTCTGCATAGCAAAAGCGACTTTCAACAGAGTAAATAACCTACAGAACGGGAGAAAATACTTGCAAACTATGAACCTGACAAAGGCCTAATATCTGGCACCTATGAGACACTTAAATTTGCAAGACAAAAGCAAGTACTTTATTTTGGGAAGTGAATCCAGGGAACAGGGGAGGGGCCCTTGACAAGAGTAAAACAGCAAAGAGGGAGAGCTAATCGAAGCGTGTGTTGTTCAGCTGGCTATGCCTATGAGTAACTGGGTCTTCGTCTTGGCGGGAATGCTTTAAGGAACCACATAGAAGATCCTTCAGGATTGCCAACCAGAGACAAAACAGGGGAGCAGCCTGATCTCCACAGGCTAAAATTAACGCTGGTTTAGGAGTCTCACTAGAAAGCAGAGAATCCCTGGGATAACAAGCAAGACAGATGCACAGTACAGCTGGGATGAGGTGCTGGTAAGGGCACCTGTATAGAGCCTGTTGCCTTGACAATGGCCAGGACTGAAAGGTGGGCTGAGGGGGATGTGAGAGGCGTATGGCAGGAGTCTAATGTAATGATACTTATTCATTAGGTGTATCATTTGTTCACTCTTAACACCTGTTTCCTCACCCTAAATGAGGCAGGAGGACCACCTACCCTGGCTGTTTCCCAGAATGATCATAAAGAGAGTTGTAAAAGCACTTTGAAGCAATTTAAAAGCTAACTCACTGCAAAACTGAGAGTGGCTGCTGCTATTGTAGACCTGGGACATGTAGCAATATCAGGAAAACAGAGAACTAAGATTAGGTCACCGGGAGCACCTAGAAGGGCTCAGGAAGCCCCTGCACTGGTGTGGCAGTTCTATAGTTATATTAACTAAGAAAAAAATTAACACGGATGCCAAAGAAAATAGAGTTTATTTGGGAAAAGAGAATTGCAATTTAGGTACACTGCATTAGGGCAACACTAAATAGTGTCCTTTAAGGCAAGCTCAGGTTTTTAATAGATTTCCTCAAAAAGTTGTTTTGGGGGGCAATTCATTGGCTAGACAGAAATCTCAAATTGCAGACCTGTTCTGAATTGTTAGTTAATTAGGGTACTCCCAGCTGAGAGATGCTGAAGGCCCGTGGATTCTGACTTCAGGTGTTATCCAAGGCTGTTGGAACCTTCTGTGGCTTGACCTTTAGCAGGTATGAGTGCAGTCCTCTCTCGATCTTCCAATTCCACTTTAATGCCTAGGCCTACATTACTTTATTTTCTTTTACAGGAACAATGGACCAGGAAGGCATGACATGCACAAAGAATGACAAGCACCATACTTAGCATGTTGGAAAATGAATATGTGAGTTTAACACCTTAAGCTTTTTAATAGCTGAAATATTAGAAGACTTTTTTTTGCTAGAAATAAATATTGATTGAACCAATTCAGTAAATGCCTAATATATGAGAACTATACTGCCTAATATGTGTCTCAGACCAATTTAAGATTTACATTCTAGCCATGTCTGTCCGCCTCTCGGCTTTAGAGTTTAAATTCACTTTCTTCTGCAGTTATTTCGACAATTGAAAGACTCCAGTTGGATTACTAATTTCAGCCCTGTTTGATCTCAGGATGCACCCAGTAGCTACTCTCATATCCTCAAGTTACATGACAGTTACACTTTTATTTCTTCAGAACATTTGCCAATTTAATAAATGTTAAATGCCAACATTACTTTAAATTCTCCTCTGAGCCTTAGTGTAGGTGCCTGTGCATAGATATAATCAGGGCTAACAATATTCCATATGCCATTTCTTCTCCCAGGCACTTAAAGACATCGTGTAGGCACTTTGCAGAGGAGAACCAAAAGTAGTGAAGTGGCAACAGATTTCGAAGCCTAACAGTTGAACTCTTGCACGCAGTGACCCTATAGGTTCCCCTAATGTAGGGTCCTAATGATTCATCCTACTTCCTTTCAGGTACCTCTTCCTGAAGTGATGAATACATTGCAAGGGAAAGGTTTGTCACCTAAAACTGTTGATCTAGTCTTCAATGGTGGCATACACTTTATAGCCACTTTCTCTGTGACATAAATCTCAGAGAAATTGTTCTTTCTCAGCCATTGATATTATTTAAAACCATGATTCTAGTTTTAACTTCAGCTTCAACAATCTCTGCATAACAAACGTCATTGTATGCATGTGGTATTTCTTCCTAAAACTTCAAAAAATTTGTAGTTCTCTATTTTCAAATTCCCCTAAAGTCATCATGTGTATGCTCTAGGAGCTCAGCTATTTCCCTAAACTAATATTACAGTGGCATGATGTACCGTTAACTACGTGGCCATAGAGATTCAGAGGGGAAAGCAGGGATTGCCTGCATCTTTTAAGTCCCAGTTAGATTTTGATTTTATTTCATAAAGGATCTTATTAATAATAATAAAATTTGGCATGGGTGACTTTGGGGATTCTAGGAAGGGCCCTGGGGCTTTCCACCCAGTTTCCAGTGGGCAGCAGAAGGCTCACTATGGATGACTGAGTAGAAGAAAGAAGTCAAGGAAGTGATGGGGAAGAGGAAAGGAAGAGCTTCCCAAATGTACCTTGTCCTCTCTCCTGAGTGTCCACGTGTGGCAGGAAGTTAATGCTGATGTGGTGAGTAATACACCAAGGCTATAAAGCTACACAGGCCCCTGTGATTATATGATCAGAGGATTTGTGTGCTGTGCCAAGGCTTGGATGGCATCCTTTATCCCAGACAGAAAGGTTCCGTTTATTGTCCTCCTAAGGAAATTTTTTGTTCACTTTGTTACTTTTGCTCGTGTGCACTCACTCAGCAAGCAGATATTGACCAACTGCTATGTGCTAGTAAGTGAGTGGTAGTTGTTTGGGATACAGCAATGAGCAAAGCATGACTCCTAGCATCTGTTGCATGTGCATGTGTGCCATGCATGTGACTCTGAGGGAGAGAGAGATTAAGTAATATGATAGCCTAGAGGCTGCGCACTGCCTGACTCTGTGTGGAATTCAGGGAGGTCTTTACAAAGAAGGCTTTTCTCTGAAGCTGAGTTTAAACTTGGGTGTTCCGGTAACCAGAACTGCAACGGGAATTGTAGGTGCAGATGAACTTTGTGTAGGGTAATGTTCTTTCTCACAGAACCCACTGCAACCAGCTACACAATTTTCTTTACAAATCTGCAGCAAACTAGACAAGTCACAGGCAGTCCCACCTCAGGAAGTTCCCTGCATCACGTGACGGTGAAACTGATACCATAGCATGGAAACCAGAGTCCCGCTGTTCCCACAGGTCAGTGCTTAGCTGTTTCAATACATTATCTGAAACTGCGTCTTCTAATTTCTGGACTTTTCAGATCTGTACTGACTCAGATTTGGTTGGGGCTTAGTTTGAAGGAGGGAGCCCTTGGTGATCACGTGAGTCATTTCGTTGGTCTGTCATAGGTAACTAATCAAATGTACCTTAGACTTTGCTCTCTGAAAAACATAGCTGAATCCAATGTTTCTTCTTATGGACTCCTTAGCATTTGACTAGAAGGTATGAATTTCTAAGTAAGGTAAGGATTTCTAAGTTATTTATACCTAGAACTTAAAAGTGGGCATGAATAAATCAAATATGTGTGGTTTTTTACTTGACACTTGATTTTCTTGTTAGGAAAAAATGAGTGACTGATGTTTTAAATGGATTTAGTGCACATACTATATATTGTGCATATGTGGCAAACAAATATTTAGGAAGTTCCCTGCATCACGTGACGGTGAAACTGATACCATAGYATGGAAACCAGAGTCCCGCTGTTSCCACAGGTCAGTGCTTAGCTGATTCAATACATTATCTGAAACTGCATCTTCTAATTTCTGGACTTTTCAGATCTGTAYTGACTCAGATTTGGGTGGGGCTTAGTTTGAAGGAGGGAGCCCTTGGTGATCACGTGAGTCATTTCGTTGGTCTGTCATAGGTAACTAATCAAATGTACCTTAGACTTTGCTCTCTGAAAACATAGCTGAATCCAATGTTTCTTCTTATGGACTCCTTAGCATTTGACTAGAAGGTATGAATTTCTAAGTAAGGTAAGGATTTCTAAGTTATTTATACCTAGAACTTAAAAGTGGGCATGAATAAATCAAATATGTGTGGTTTTTTACTTGACACTTGATTTTCTTGTTAGGAAAAAATGAGTGACTGATGTTTTAAATGAATTTAGTGCACATACTATATATTGTGCATATGTGGCAAACAAATATTTAGTAAGAGGTTTTCTTTACCATGCTGATATATTTCAAATAAAAGAACTTAGCAAAAATGAGGAAAAGGCCGAACACTCTAATAAGACAGTGAAGGAGGGATGAGCAATGTTTGTTCTGAAAATTATCTGAGACCTTTAAACAAATCTCTGAGGGTGTATTCTTACTTGTAATTGTCTATCTAGTTATACGACAGAGGCTTATTAGCTGCTCCAAGGATGCACTGCTTTCCATTCTGTGGTGGAAACAAAAGGACTATAGCCGTGGTTATCTTGCAGAAGAATCGTGATCTTTGAATTCTAAAACAAGAAACTTAGAAGTCTCCTGGATATTTCCACTGTCGCAAGGGAGAATCATTAAGTTTATGTCATTTTTGATGCCTAAAAAAAGGTTGAAAAGTTTAGATTCAATTCTCATTGGATTTCTGTTGTTTGGGACTTTGAACAATAGAAAAAAGTATTCACGGGGAACTTAGTTTTTTGTGTGTGTCATTGGTACTTGACAAAGCAAACTTGCGTTTCCTGATTTCTTAGAAACTTGTAGGAAATAATTTCTGTCCAAAATGGTAAATTGGTGTCATATCCCATTTATAAGCATATTTTAATTCAAAGATGTAATAAAGTGTGGTGGTAAAGGTTTAGAGAGTCAAATCATCCTTGATGCAATCACCGACTTCATCATTAACCAGTTGTATATTTTTCTCTGGCCCAGTTTCTGAATCTGTACAATGGGGGTAGACAGAAGTTCCTAGGATTGCTGTGAAGATTAAATGAAATTTATTAAGGTGCTTAGCAAAGTGCCTGGTTATGTAGAAAGTGTTTAATAAATATTATTTCAGAATATAGATGTAAAAGACGAGTAATTTCCTATATTATAATATTGAGTAACCTGAAGTTTAGTGGCCCTTAAATGAATCCATGAATGAATCCTGCTTTTGGCGTGTGGCCCACCAGCATGCTCTATCAGTTGGCCTGAGCTGGGAAAGAAACCAGTTCCTGTGTTGAGTTTTCTTCCAGGTGCTTAAACGAGACCATAGCTGTCTGAATATTTTGATCATTAACCAACGATTCTGGGTGGCTCCTCCTTGCTCTGGTCAGTAACCAGGGTAGGTCACGTAGTAAGGCATCAGATGAGGTGTTTTTCCTCCTGAGGCTGTCATGCCAACTCTGACTTCCTAGAGACTGGCCCAGGAGTGGAGCGTTTGTTCTGAGTTACATAACCAGCATCCTCTTTGAGGCTTCAAGTGTCTGTCTGACTTCTGACTGCAGGCATGCAAACCTTTCCCCTGCCTAGTAGGAATAAACACCTCTTTTCCAAGCAGCTACATAGCAGCAGCCCAGGGGCTATCAGAGAGCCAGTTGCTTCCTGACTTAATTTCTGGGAAGACCAATTGCCTACTCAAGAAAAATTCCTTCCTCCTTATTCTTCTCTCAGATGAGACTAGCTGTTAGGTATTCCCTCCCTAGGACTCTGACCTGACTCTCATAGAAAAAAGATTGAAGTTCATTCCACTTAACTGGGGCTATAAACATGCCACCTGAAAAATCCTGCTATTCTGGCTTACTATAATTTTAGGTTCTCCTTTCTAACACAATACTGTCTTTATAACACATACACACCTTTCCTTGATTTGATATTCAGTTGTGGTGTTGATATGTTCAAAATCCCTCTACTTTAGCCCCAACTAAAGTTCCCAGTATGTATTTGCAGGCCTTTTTTACCCTACCATCTTCAATAGAATGCATATACCTCTTTTTCAGCACAGGCTTCACCCTTGGAGGCTTGCTTCTCTCTGGAAATTCATTTCCAGCAGGTATCTGAGATAAATGTACTCTATCGCATCTTTTTCTGTTAGAGAGTAGAATGCAGCTAGCAGGTGCAGCTTCTTATAATAACTGCAGATTCAGATATTTTTCTCTCTATAAAAACTGTTAAATGTCCTCTCAGAGGCTCATTTTAAAATTCTGAGTAAAAGGTGGGGGCTTGTTTTTTCTTAGTCCTTGATCTTGGAATCTTATAATCTGTCATTGCACATTGCTCCTTACCAGCCATTTAGAGTTCAAACTACTAATTACCAAGTGATAAGAAATTAAGATACAAATATAGGCAAATGTATACTTGGAGCTTTCTTACTTTAACACTCCTGTTTCAGGAGGGATGTCTTCTCCACAGCTATCCAGGTCTGCCTTAGAGACCATCTTTGAGAAATAAGATCCTTTCTATCTAGTTTAACATAGATTAGAGGCATCACCGAGAGCACCTTCTGAAGAAAAAAATATTTTGTCTTTTCTTTCTGTCCCATAATCTACATCACTTAACTACGATCACTAAAATGCCCTGTCAGTTACAGAAAATTAATGTTACTAGGCCTGACTTTTGTAATATTTCTATTTACAAATTTACAAATTATATTCCTAATTCCATGCATGCTAAGCTAGTAGCTCTGTGTTTATATCAACTTGGCAACAAGGAAAATAAACTTAGTTTAAAAAAAAAAAAGGCAAAAAAGTTAAATCACTTTTGTAAAAGACCCAGGAAAAATATATATATGTATCTCCATCATATAACTATTACAATACATAAATATATAAGTATGTTACATAAATATAATATGTATTTACTATAGAAAATAAGTGAAAAGGGTGAAATTGATGGCGTCCGAGCTTAGAAATATTGTTAATGTGGTGGAAAAGAAAAAAGGGAGGAGTCATCAGGTGATGAAGAATTCCATTGGTGTAGTATGTTCTGAGTTCGTGAGTTCAGGGGTGGAATAGAAAGCTCTGGGTGATAAATGCAGGAATCTATGGAAATACTAGGCTGAGTGGAGTAGAAGTAACTGGTTTGGGAGTTCTTGTCTTTTTCTTCCTAGAGTTTTAGATTTGCTGATAAGAATTTAGTAGGTAAGAGAGGAGAAAGAGGCATAGAAAAGCTCAGATGACCCAAGTGACAAGTATTTCTTAAATATTTGACCCATAAAAGTACAAATAATACTCTAACCCAACCAGATACGCTCCATTCAGCTTAAATACAATTGACACTCCCTGTTACCCTTTTGTGTAGGAGCAAGGGTCACTCTAGAATAAATTTAGATTCCCACCGTGAGCTATAGATTCCCTAAAGATACAGAGCAATGGCTTGGAAAGAGCACAGTTGTTGGAAGAGGCTGCCAGCTTTATTTTCAGATTCCAGTGTGGCGAGAAGATGGGGAAATGAGCAACTCTTCTTGAGAAAAAGGAGATGGGGAAATGGTGCTTTGGGGAAAGAATTGAGTTCCAGCTAAGGCTGGAAGGCAGCAGGAATCAGAGCAGGCTGTGGGTAACAGGCAGTTTATTGTCTAATGATGTTTTCAGAGGACACAAGGAAGAGCTTTTTTTTTTAATTGGAGACAGAGTCTCACTCTGTCGCCCAGGCTGGAGTGCAACGGTGCGCTCCCTGCTCACCCCAACCTCTGCCTCCCAGGTTCATGCAATACTCCTCCCTCAGCCTCCGAGTAGCTGGGATTACAGGTGCACGTCACCACGCCTGGCTAATTTTTTTTTATTTTTAAGTAGAGACAAGGTTTCACCATGTTGGCCACACTGGTCTCAAACCCCTGACCAGGGAAGAGCTTTGCCAGGAGCAACAGAAGGGGAAGGCTGGGTGGGTCGAGGGGAAGCAGCACAGAACCTGGGAGAGGCAGTGTGTGAGAAGGTGAGTAAGCAGGTGTCCTGTTCACAGCATGATGTACCAGCTTTTGCAGAGACAGGAGGCAGGGTGCGAAGAAACAGCCCAGGGAATTGAAGGACAGCCTGCCACGGGGTTTTAGTGCATGCCTTTGTTTCACAGAGAGGATTTCACCACAAGGAGTCGATGAGTCAAAGATTCAGGTGCAAGTGATTTATTAAAATAGTGCTCTTAGAAGAAACCAGCTAGGGGGTAGGGAAAGCCAGAGTGATGGGTAAGATAGGAATATAAACCAGGTGAGCCAATAATAGGAAAACACGGTTTACTGGGGCTCCCAGGAAATCTGCTTCTCTCCTTAACAAGACATTCTGCTGAAGCTCCAGTTCTTTTCACCTGGGCTTAGCGGTGTGCGATGCCAGGCCTGAAACATCTACATCCTTTGTTATCGCGATGGAAGCTAGACTGTGTATAAGGTAAACCCACAGGAGGCAAAGCAGAGACATGAGACCTGGTGTCATGTGTCCTGGGTAGAGCTGGCCGGAGGCTCCCAGAAGCCTCAGTTATGTTTCTCCGAAGATTTCCTTTGCTGTCTATGTCAGTTCCAGGATGTTGTTCTTACTGCTTGCAACAGAAATCTAGATTCCCGCACACTTTATTTTAATAATGCTCTCATATTTATCAAAATATGCTTTAATCTTGGAATTGACTAATCAAAAATGACTAACGACATCAAATATTTAAGTTTAGCTTCTAAAACAGCTGAAATATTTCATAGCAGTACAATGAAATGAAAGAAGAGCATTTTCTTTCACACTGGAAAGGAAGAAATTATACATGCACACATATCTCTTCTAATTTCTGTCTTCCGATCTGAGAGTTAGTCTCCTTAAAATTTGAGTGTGAAGAGACCTAGGCCCACCAAACCAATTTCCCCCGTTGAATTTAGCTTTCTATTTTATATGCAAAACATTATATCCTAAGTGTGCTTTGTAGATTACATTTCTAATTCTTGTTCGTTCTTGTGCTTTTAGTGTTGCATGCACTGACATAGTTCTGCAAGCTGTCTTTGAAAAGCTTTTTACCTCTTTTTACTGTTCTTTTGTCTTGCCTGTGAATTCCAGAGATGCGACTGCAGAAATAGATGACTGAATACCAAGTATGTA